TTTACTGATGTCTCTCCCTAGTTGGCCAGGTTGCTCCTACAGAGGCACTCACAGGGTTCCCCTCTGGCCACTGTAATGTGGCTTTTTGTCACTGGAACAGTCCTAATGCTTGCCCTCTGAAAAGGCAGGTCACCTACGGAGCCAAACTCTGCCGGGGTCTGACCTGCTAAACTCCTGTTTGGCTGCAGGTTGCAGTGTCAGTTCCTCAGTGTTTTGTTATGGTAGTGAAAACTCTCCTCTTTAAAATACATCTGTTCCAAAGGCTTTTTCTTCTTCTGTACGAGTGTGCTGGTTTCATTTCTTGTTTCATTGTTTGCTATTGAGCAATAATCTAATGTGCTCAAAGCTAGATCATGTTAATTAAACACAGGTTCCAAGCAAAGGAAAATGTGAGCTGCAGAACTAAGAAAGCTCATATTCCTGGGAGTTAGTATTTTGAGAAGCTCTTCTAAATTCCTGTTAAGTCTAGTAAGGTTAAATTCCCTTCTATAGCCTGTTCTGTAGTGGGGCACCGAGTCTTCTCTACCTGGGAGCCCACCATGCTGAGACTTAACTCGTTGGTAAATTGAGGTTGGCAGATAGGTGTATATGGAGATTGTGGAGACACTCAAAGCTGCAGGGGTGAAAGTATAAGCTTTATTTTTTTTTTTAAAGAAAAAATTGAAGCTTACTGTTCTCTGCTAAAGCGTGGAAAAATATTCTGACGAGCACTCCCAAAGTATTTGTTCTCCCTGTACTAAAGATTAGTTCAGTAGAGAATGATATGGAAGATATATTGGACTCTTCTCTTGATTAGCAGAAATGCTATTTAATTAGACAAGCCCCATGACTCAGGAGGTTAGTCAAACACTTCTAAGCTCTTACAGCTCTATTCCGGTCAGAATTTGTGTGGAATTGATTTTCTTCCTTATCTAGTAAAGCTGTATTACAAGAACACCAGGTGAATTTCAATCTTACGGATACTAAATCGAAACTGAATAAAATACGAAAAAGTCTGAGATTTATCAGATACGTAATGCCTAAACAGGCAGAGCCATTGAAGATTAGAGCACCAGTGGACAGAGGTTGACATCCTAATGGAAATGCTCAAAACATATGGGGTGGGGTATATAAATTCTTAAATGTGTAAGTTTTCCTGGAAGTATTTGGATAAGTGTATTGAATCTATGGACAGTGTTTTCTGTACACCTTGGCTCCTCTCTGTTTCTTTCTCCGATTAGGTTGGTACTGATTTGTTTTGCCTGCTCTTACTTTCTCATACACCTTTCTATAGCCTGGTATTCCTTCTTTCACTATGAGATGGAAAGACGGTTAGAATTTTGTGTGGCTGGCTTGTAAAACAAAAACTGGCAAGAACTGTAAAATAAAAAAGTGGTATATTAGGTATTCTTACTGCATATAACTGTAAATATTTTAAGTGTAGTTAAGCTCAGAGCATAGTCATTAACATTGAGGGACCTGTGTACAAATATTTATCAGTGTGGTTAAGCTTAGAGCTCAGTGATTAACACTGAGGGGCCTGTGTATAATTTGTCATACTTACTGTATTTTATGCATGTTAAAACAATGCAAAATCAATCGGAAAAGGGAAAATGGTTGGAAATTTGCATTGGTAATAGATAAAGTGTTGGTAGTTTTTTGAACATAATTATTTTTACGTAAGACAATACTATTGTTTTTAAAGAAACATCTTAATTTAGAGAGATTTTGACATATCTTTCCTGCAGAAATGAATGCTACTTCATGGGTGAAAAATACCGAGTGTTTGCTCAGTATAAGACTATATGTTTTCTGAGCCTGGCTTGCTTAGCCTTCAGTTGAAGATATAAGTTGTGTCAAAATGATTGTAATTTGTACTGTGTTCATTTTGCCTTTGCAGGTAAAACGATGGGAAGTGCTATTCTTTGGTGGAGCAGCTTATCTGTCAGACTGGTGTCTGTCTACTTGCTGTGTGCATCAGCTGGAAAGCAATGTCAGATCCGAAATGAAATGGCTGACTGCAGTCACCTAAAGCTGACTCAAATTCCTTCTGATCTCCCAAACAATATTACGGGTTTGGACATTTCTCATAATCAGCTAAGACAGCTAGGTCCTGCAAATCTGACCAAGTACAGCCAGCTGGTTTATTTGAATGCAGGCTACAACAGCATCTCTAAACTGCAACCAGAATTGTGCCAAAATGTGCCCCTGTTGCAGATTCTGAAGTTAGAACATAACGAATTGTATAAGCTCCCTGACAGAGCCTTTGCTTCCTGCACCAACCTGACTGAGCTCAATCTAGGATACAACAGAATAGATATAAAAAATGATCCTTTCAAAACCCTGGAGGTAAGCTTTAGAAATGCACCTTTTCACATACATGAGGTATAAATGGGGAATTTACTGTATTTTCCAGTGTGTGTACAGAACAGCTGCCTATTTGCATCTGAAAATACCCAGCGTATAATCTTCCTTCATTGTTTTTCTAAAGAAAAGGCCTAGTGGCTTCTTGTGTTAGAGCACACTGGAGTCTCAGCCATTCTTATGAGTCAGTGCTCTCCATCCCCTTTTCCCTATTGCATCCCATTGAGGCACCTCTCCATACAGGATTTGTGCTGGGAGAATAGCAGCAGCAGATGATGTATAGGACAAAATGGATGGTGTGGAATCTGAGTTGCAAGGGGTCTAAAAATGGTAGCTAGCCTAAATTCTCAAGGTCAAGGTGTAATTACTCAGACCATGAAGGCCAGCGCTTAGGCTGAATGTAGTGTCTCCCAGGACTTTGGGGATTGAGAAAGAGTAAAAAACCTTTTTACTCTACCTTTGTTTTTCCTTGTAGTTTAAATATCTTCTTGTGGTTAACCTTGTGGTTAAATATCTTCTCTGTCGCATCTATGAATTTGGGGTACCAGCACAGGAGGCAGGAAAAGACTATTCCATTGTCTTTGCACCAAGCAGGGAACCATGCAAAAGGAAGGGCCTAAGGACAAAAGAAAATAGAGACAATGCGTGGGTACTAATTGTTGTACAATGTTCTAATGAGTGTGCATGTTGTTTTGAACAAGTCTAAACTTTTCTGCTAAACTCATTATTCCAGTTCAGTTACATAAAATGTACTTGCTTGCATCGTAGGACTGCTGACTCTCCACTAAGTACAAATGAGTACAGCCAGCCTCGGTGCTGGGAACAGAACTGAAGTTCTGGCCTTCCTTGCTTTGCTGCTGCTCTGTTACTGATGGAGGCCAGGCTTGGGGCACCTCAAGGCACATTCTGTGGAGTCACCTTTAGGGTAGCATCTCCGCCCCTGCAGGTGCAGGAGTCTGAGCACCTGGGCACGAGCTGGAGTACGACAAGGCGTACAGCACTGATCTTTGTGGGCTGCTACTGCACTCCCCTTCCTCACTTCCCTTCATGGGGGTGGACCACCGTGCAGAGGGTGGAATGCAAGGTTTAATACTGCAGTAGTTGTAACTGCAGCCGGCTGTAGGCTTTTGCTTTTATCACTTTATCTGGAGCAGGGGGGCTTTCAGTGAGTTAAGGAATTTTAAATAAAGTAATTCTTTGGTTCGCAGTAGATATTTTAGCAAGTTAAGATCATGGACACAATGAAAGCTACAGGTGGGGAAGATACAGAAGGCTTCTTCCCGCAGGAGCTTGAAAGCTGCCATTTTTCTATTACAGATTTATTTTAACTGTAGTATTGCAACTAATTTCTAATCAATTAGATTCTAATGCAATATTTCAAAATAGTTTTGTATTATATAAAATAAAAATAATTTTATAGTTTTCTGTTTGCATCTTCTCCCCAGAACTTGAATATTTTGGACCTATCTCATAATTTTTTGAAGTCAGCAAACTTAGGATTGCAGCAACAGTTGGAGAATCTTCGTGAGCTCATGTTGGATAGCAATCAAATCACTGAGTTAAAAAAGGAAGACTTTCATTTTCTAAGCAACGCCTCATTGAATAGTCTTGATTTGTCATCAAATCCACTGAAAGAGGTAGGAAGCACTTCAACAGAAATTCAACAGGTGTAAGTATAAAATGGAACTATCCTGATTTATCCTTTATGACCGTATGGCATTTACATTACATTTTTGATCCACTGAGGTCAAAGATAAAACCATTCTATTGTATACAGCATTGCTTCGGACCTCCAGTAGTGATACACATAATTATTTTTCTCCCACTGAAATCAGCAAGAGCTGGTTCCATGTAGATCAGAGGTCTCAAGCAAGAGCTAGATCAAGTAGTTCTGTGAACCCTTACCAGGTATTTTCTATGCAGGATTTTTTTCGTATGCTGAAGGTGAACAGCTGACGTACTTTCTAAGTGGGGAAAAAGTGCAATATTATGCAAGGCTAGTTATACAGTCTAGGTCTCACTTCCTAGTTAATCAAAGAGAACGTCCATTTGTGCCTGTGGGGTACCCTGGAGAAATAATTATTGTGGAAAAGTATACTCCCTCTTCTGAAAAACCAGGTGGGTGTTTTCTCTGCCACCTACCTCACTGTTCCCTCTGACCTGCACCTCAGTGTTACAATAGGATTCCTTGAAGAGTGATGGTAAGTGTTGCAGTTCTAAACTGGTTGACCCTCAGCATATGAATGCTGAATTTGCACTGAATTTGCTTGGGTTTTTTCCCAGTTGATTGATCCGTAAAGAACATGTATATTGAAATTACAAGAATATTGTAGAGTGGCATAAGCTTGTACCACTGCTGAGAGGAAATCCCACCATCCTCTTTCCCGTGGCCGGTTCATCCCTCCCTCTTTCTGGTACAAGCTTTAATGAGGCCATGCACTGGATCACTGGAGAAACTCTACAGATTTTTTGGCTTGGTTAGCTTGCAGTCAGGCTGGTTCTCTGTCTGGTTCACTATGTGACTGCATGTATGGCCATATTGGCACAAGGTGGTACAGCGTGTGGATAAGTAGACGGGACTGCTACTTTCTTGGGCAGTGCTACTTTATGCTAGTTTAACCTGCCCTGATTTTTACAGTACTACTGTCTGAAAAACAGCCTTATGCATTTGAATCATTCTGACAAATGGAGTATTTAGTCATCCAGCTGATATCTGAATCAAGATGAGGGGCCAGCACTACGATGGAGGCTTATGATTTATATTGTGGAAGCAAGTGTGTAGTATCACATTTCCTGAGTGTAGCTTCTGCTCACACAGAGACTGTGTTTCTTCTTGGCTGTCTGAAGGCCTAAATGACTTTTTTACAATATACCTGGTTTTGCACTAGTATATTGGTATCCCTAGCAGATACCAATAAAAGAAAGCTGAAGAAAGAGATTATCTCAATTTCTAAGACACTTCCAGTGAATGAGTTTTACTAGTTGGATACAAAATTGTAATTAACTTGCACCTCATTAAGCAACTTTCTATCTTCTTCTAAAAGAGTACTGCTCAGAATTATGATAATCATGTCACAAATTTTAGAACTAGTAGTTCTAAAATTATCACAAGAAGTATAAACTCCAAGAAGTGTTTGTCTGAACTTGGCTGTGGAAAAATCTGAGCGTAGGATTTATATTCTGCTTGAAAATCTCGTTTGAAAACCTTTCCAAATTTTGGCCTTATGGGGCTACTTTCTTACACAGTCCCCTTATTTAGGTCAAACCTCTTTCTTCTTTTCCTTTCAGTTTCACACAGGATGTTTACATGCAATTGGAAATCTGTTTGGCCTCATACTGAACAATGTTGAACTTGGTGAAAATCGCACAAAGAAACTTTGTACAGAATTATCAAACACAGCGATTCAGAACCTCTCACTGAGCCATGTGAAGCTTTCATACATTGGCAAGTCAACTTTCCAGGGACTGCAAGGAACAAATCTTACAGTTTTAAACCTTTCCCAAAATTCTCTGTCTGTGATAGAAGATGACTCATTTCAGTGGCTTTCAAGTTTACAATACTTAAACCTGAAGCATAACAACATTCATGTATCTTCACGTTTATTTAATGGATTATCCAGCCTCAAACATCTTAATCTGATAAATTCGCTTACTGGGAAAATTGAAGATTTTTCCTTTCATTGGTTATACCACCTGGAGTACCTTATAATGGATAATAACAATTTTCCAGGAATTACTGCTAATATGTTCACAGGTCTGAACAACCTGAAATACTTGAGTCTCTGTTACTGCAACATAAACTTACAAAGAATAACTAATAAAACATTTTCATCACTTGCTAATTCCAGTTTGCAGGTTCTCAACCTCACAAAAACAAGAATCTCTACAATAGAAAGTGGGGCATTTTCCTCCTTGGGACACCTGAAAATTCTCGATCTTGGTCTCAATGAAATTAGTCAAGAGCTCACAGGTCATGAGTTTAAAGGTCTCAATAACATACAAGATATTTATCTTTCTTATAATAAAAACTTGACTTTGCGAAGTGAATCATTCATTTTTGTCCCAAGCCTTAGAAAACTGATGCTGAGGAAGGTAGGTTGCAGTAATCTGGCGCTTTCTCCTTCGCCTTTTCATCCTCTACAAAACCTGACCGTCCTGGACATCAGCAATAACAACATAGCAAACATAAAAGAAGACTTGTTCGGTGGACTTCACAAACTTGTCATTCTGGATTTGCAGCACAATAATTTAGCCCGACTTTGGAAACATGCAAATCCAGGTGGCCCTGTTGTTTTTTTAAAAGATCTTCCCAACTTGCGTATTCTCAATTTAAAATCAAATGGGCTTGATGAGATTCCAGCTCAGGTTTTCAAGGGTCTGTCCCAATTAAAAAACTTGGATTTAGGATCAAATAATTTGAATTTGCTTCCGGCAACTCTGTTTTATGACCAAGCCTCTCTGAATTCATTGAACCTTCAGAAAAATCTGATAACCTCAGTTGAAGAAAAAGTGTTTGGCCCAGCTTTCAAGAGCTTGAGAATACTGGAGATGGATTCCAATCCATTTGATTGCACCTGTGAAAGCATTGCTTGGTTTGCTGATTGGCTGAATGTGACCCAAGCATATATACCTGGATTGAGGTCCCAGTACATTTGCAACACCCCACCTAAATATCATGGCAGTCTGGTGTTGCATTTTGATAGCTCAGCCTGCAAAGACAGTGCTCCATTTAAACTTCTGTTTGTGATCACTACCGCTACTGTGATGCTAGTAATTTTTATCGTTTTTATCATCCATTTTGAAGGGTGGAGAATAGCTTTCTACTGGAATATTTCGGTAAATCGAATACTCGGTTTTAAAGAACTTGACAGACCACAGGAAGAGTTTGATTATGATGCCTACATTATTCATGCAAAACAGGACACGCATTGGGTATCTAAGAATTTCACGTCTCTGGAAAAAAATAACCAATTTCAAATTCGTTTTTGTTTAGAAGAACGGGACTTTGAAGCTGGCATATCTGAATTTGAAGCCACAATTAACAGTATAAAAATGAGCAGGAAGATTATTTTTGTTGTGACTGAACACCTCTTACAGGATCCCTGGTGCAAAAAGTGAGTAGAATATAAAATTTTATATGTAAGGGAGAAAATTTCTTAACAGATTTTTTTTTTAACAAGGTAATCTTTTTTTGCTGTGTAATTTAATAAAAAGTACCCTTTAATAAAAAATACCATGCAAATTCTATTTTAATACATTCACTTAATATATCATAACTTCAGAATAATTCCTAAGTTAATAAAGTTAATTGCTCTACATGTACACTAGTGGAAATTTGAATCTCTCTGTCAATATATCCTTTTCAAAAAGTCAAGCTGTCACCTGTGCAGATTGCTTTCCTTAAATTTACATGTTTGAAAAAGAGCAATAACGGGTGAGACCACTAGCATCCAAAGATGATTTTTATTTGTCTTTAAATGAGTCTCTTCACCTTTCTTATGTAGTGATCTTGAAAAGAAAGGAACTTTGCTGAACAAGGTTATATCAAGACAGTAGACTTAGGTTATATTTTTTAGATGATGATTTTTGTCTTTAGTTAGAAGGTAACTAATTTAATGTAAGTAATGACAATTTTGTATCATAGAACAGACATTAAGACCCCTGTTTGAGTCCAGTCCTTGAGTTTGCAATGTGCTATTACGTGAGCTGTTAAAAGAACTGTTTGTCATTTTTTCCTTCCACATGTATTTTTGTCTTATTTTTGCTTCAGTTTTAAGGTGTATCATGCTCTTCAGCAAGCTATTGAACAAAGTCGGGACTCCATCATATTGATCTTTCTTCACGATATCCAAGATTACAAGTTGTATCATGCACTTCACCTGAGAAGAGGAATGTTCAAATCTCACTGCATCTTGAACTGGCCAGCCCAGAGAGAACGAGTCAGTGCATTTCATCAGCAATTAGTGATGGCACTTAAATCTAATAGTAAAGTGCACTGAATTTTGAAAGTACAGATTTGAATTATGGGGTCATTTTATTGCATATTTTCTATCATTGGAAAACTATCAAGCCTTCAGGAAAACCTGAAAAAAGTTTGTCATGCTGGAAAGATACGTAAGAGTCACTATCATTTAATTTTACTTGTCTGTATTCATGTTCTTGCTGATATTTTAATTCACCTGCACTGAAGTGACATGTTAAAATGGATCATGACTGATAGTAATTTCAGTCTCTGTATCAAAAATGGGGTAGAAATTCTGAAAAGCAGTGAGAATGACTGATGTCATAGGACATCACTCCATCTGATGGAGTGCAGAAAAGATGTAGACTCTCTACTTTAAAGGGGATATGTAAAAAAGGATGTAGTAACGATAAAATAGCAAATTCTGTGTAGGAGGTAGAGTGGACACTACTGCTTCTTTTATAACACAAGGGGAGATTCAGTGAAATTAAAACTGGAAAGCTTTCCATGTGAAGCACAGTAAGTAACATGGAAAATTATTTCTGTAGTTGAAACCAAGAAACATAGCAGAATTTCAAAGTGAGTTTTAAAACCTTTGTTTTAAGAGAAAGCCACAGAAAGAAACTTGACCCTGTGAGCAGCCCGTTCAGAACATGCAGTGAAGGATTGCTTATGCCTTCTAGGTGGGGCTAGTACTGGTGACTATGAAAAACAGATTTTCAGACTAATGAGCCAACTGATTTAATCAATGTGGTATGATTAAAAAATTTTTTTTTACTCTTCCCTACTGAAATTCAGAGAGCTGGCAGAAGGACATTTATACTGAGAGATGTCACCTTAATTCTTTGAATGCGCATAAAACTGTATGTGGGCCATTAAACAGAACTTGAAATCAATGTGAAACATGGCGAAGGCACAGCTGGTGCACCTGTATAAAATGAGTAAAGGCATAGATATTTCTGTAGCATAACCAGAAGACAGCTTTGTGGAGGAGGTGGTGCTACTGTAATTTCATTACCAAAATCTTTGTTACTGGTGCAACAACAACAACAAAATACCCCCCCAAAAGAAATACTTTTAAACCATAGCAGAAATATTACTGTGACTACAGTTACAGTTAGAGTGGGAGAAAAACTTCAAAAGTAGATTAATTTCAAATTTTTATTTCCTTTTTCTTTATGACTGTATATAGTTTTGCCTTTGATAGCTAAAAAGAAAATTGTAAAGAAATGAGATAGAATTCTGTAGTTTAATTTCTTATATATTAATCTAGGTTTTTTTTTCCTTAACATACTTTACAGAAACATGGGTTAGTTGGCAATTGCCAGAGCATTAAGGTTCAAACATATGGGCTAGTAGCTTGATCTGGAGAGAGCTGAGTACCAGCAGACTGTGCTCTGAAAGGATGCTCATAATGTTTGAGACTGGTTGCAATTTTATGGAGTGTTTGAGCAGAATTTATTGTAAATTAGACACTAGACGGTCATTTGTATGTTTTTGTTAATGTTTAATTGCTGCTCCAAGGAACCTTATAAAACATTGTCAATTTTTAGTAGGTGTGTGATCCTTCAATAGCTCGGGAATATTTTTAAATTGCTTTTTTCCCCTAGCATTTCCTTCATCAGTTTCAATACCACCATTACTCCAAGAATGCTGTTTTACTGCTTTAGAAAACAGCTTTCAGAGAGTTCAATACTTAACATTTTAAGCAGCTTTTCTCATGATTTGTTATAGGCACAGATGAAAAACGTTGGTTTTTAATAGGTTTGTATGTCCCACGATGATAAAAAACGTAAATGAGAAAAATAATTAATGGAATAGATTTTGCATGCGCCGGCAGAGTGAAGGGGGTGTAGACTGTCTTCACTCCTCAGGAAGTCCTGAGTGAAAAAAGGCTTTGTTTACAGTTGAAGTGATAGATGATGATTCCCTAATTACAGTAATAGGATTATCCCCATTGTGATGCTTTCATCTCATCTTTCTGACCTTTTCAGGCAAAGTGACAGATTCTTTCTTCCTGCTTAGGCCATGAAAGTTGAGGAGGCAAGTCGGTAAGGGTGGGGTGCCAGGTATGCACCATGCCAGTCGTTCTTTCTCTTATTTAAAGACTAACGTGTGAAAGGGTTCCTATGTTTCCTAAATCTGTAATGATGCATAGTAGCAGAATTTCTCATTCCACATCAATATAAATTGTTTAGAAAACGTTAGCAGTTCACATGGATATTAAAAATGACATAAAGATGCAGAGGATGCATGGATAAATGCTGAGGTGAAATGTGATACAGGAGGTAAGACTAGATGATCAAATGGTCTTTTCTGGCCCTTAAACCCTGACAAATGACTCTTGTCTAAATTCTGTGGAGATTTTTCTTGTTACTACAAATGCCCCCCTAATAGGTCTCAGAACCTTGAGAATATGTGTTATGGATGCTTAGTTTTGTAAAATAGCTAAGAATACAAACTAAAAGTACTTGCGGATGAGTGAAAATAATTTTAAATTATAAAAATATGATGATGTGTTCTAAACAATTATTTTAGTACCTACATTCAGTTTAAAATAATGTACAACAGAAAAAGACATTATAAAGGCTCTTTTAAGGCCTTTTAAACATTAATTAGACTAATGTTTAAAAAAAAAAAGCACAAAAGCAATAAGCACAGGGCCAATGGTAATCATCAATTATACCTGACATAAAATTTTCATATAAATTTTCCCTGTTTGTCTGAAAGTTACCTACTTCTGCTCTGCTCCTGTACATTTGTTGACAATATTATTGAGAGCAAATAAATGGGCTTACTGTGGTGAAGAGTTGTAAGTGCTTTCAGGATTAACAGTCTATATCTGAGCTGGGTAGTTTCTTTGCAGTGGGCAGCATCAGACTATATTATGCTGATTTGTTGAGGAATTGGATACCAAATAAATGAAAAATAGTTCCAGATTTGTAGTGTCAAAGATATTACCTAGGGCTAAAGAGGAATCATCTGTATTGAAAGCAGAATATCTAAAGGACTTGAGCGAGGCAGACTGCTCAATTCTGTAAATTTGGGGTGAAACCTGACTGTTTCTATGGTTCTTGAATGACAGGAGGTAATGAACAAATTACAGACAGTGATTTCGTAATGGGTTCTATTCCAGGTCTTCATGCAGGGTTGCTTCAGGGCTGCAGCTGAGATAAGTATACTACACAGCAACGTGCTCAATTATGCTACTTTCACTGTGGCTCAGTCAAGGCTTTTTGGCATCGCGAGGAATAAGCGCAGACCGTGCTGCTGTTGGGTTTATGTGGGCCTATTCCCTAAGGTTTAGTCAAACATAATTATTTCAGTTTTTAAGAAAAAAGGCCAAGAATATCCATTTCAAATTGCAGTCCTGTACTTGGTGTCGTGTGTGCCCCACCCCGCCGGTTCATGGCACTCCTTGATGTGCTAGGAAGACAAGGCAGGGATAAAATTTCCCACTTTGTATCCTTGGTTGTCATCTACTAGCAGCTGCCAGCTTGGAGCTGATGGTGGAACTAGTTGCTTGACCTATGATCCGGGGCTCGTACGTATAAAGGAACTGTACGATCTTTCAGCCTGTGCTGTTCTCTTAGACGCTGCCAAGGGCCATGCCACCTGCCATATTCTGAGTTGACACAGTGTTTGCCCTGTCCGTAATACCAGCCATTACAGTGTCCCCAAATGGCTGCTGGCACGACCACTCTTCTCTCCAGACAGACAGACAACCCTACGTCGCAAAGCTAGCGCGGTATTTGCCCTAGCCCCCACTCATCTGCCTCTAGCTGCCTCGTATTTGTAGCAAAGGAGAGAGAGGTCTTCGATCCTGACACCCTCTACTGCTCTCCAAGCTGCCTGGCATTGCTGGTAGCATCTTTGCACGTGGGCTGCTGCTCCTCGCAGCTCCCTTCTGCCGTTGCCTGACGTGGGGTAAAAAGGTGTACCGGATTGGGTCGATCTCGCTCCCCGCTTCTGTTAAACCCTTTCTGCGCACAAATGCGCGCGCCGCACAAAGGAAGGGTGTGAAGCAGGGCCCTGCGACCCAGGCAGGTGGAGTTAGTTTCTGCCCCTTAATATTAGACGGGATTTTAACTAAAGGGAAAGTGCCACGCTTTATTTCCTTAACTCGCAGGCTGCAACAGGTTCCTGCCCTACGCTTCCGCGTGACTCTCGGGCGCGTAGGCCGATGGCGGCTCGCAGGCTTTTTGCACGCCGCCGAGGGCGGTGCGTGGCCCGGCGGGGTTTGTTTAGCCT